ATAGGTCAGGTAAAGAGCACAAAGAAAAAATACAATTTGTAATAATGAATATGCTAAAAAACACACAACTAACAACTGTTTCAAGTGAAGAAATAACTGATGGTTGACTTATCACAAAAAAGAGAGGAAAAAATATTTCAAATAAGCCTAAGGAAGGTGTTTTTCTGAGGAACCAGATATTTTAGTATTTTATTTTAGTCTCTTGGCAATATGAAGCAGAGACTTACAAGTACAATCTTATTTAATCTCAGTGTGGACATGTTCTATGCTAACATGAGTGTATTGCTCCATGGAGTTATACAATTTACCTTCAAGTGCTACGAATGTCAAGGCCATAGTTTATCTTTAGGTTTTCATTTAAGAAAGTTCTTCACCAGTGTCTAAGACTCTAACTTTAACCTGGGCAGCTCTCGCACATAGGATGCGTACCTCAGTCCACTCAAGAAGACAAGAGCCCTCAGGCTCACCAAAGGAAAAGTGGTATAAAAGCACAAGGTTGTCCTGCTACATATATGACACCTCTGTCACATATCAAAGAAAATAGAGGGCTGAGCCCGTGGCGCTCCCGCTGCGAGTTTGGATCCTATATAGGGATGACCGGTGTGCTCACAGCGCTCACTGGCTGAGCCTGGTGCAGCCAGTCTCAAAAAGGACAAAAAAAAAAAATTTTTTTTAGGGCCGACCCCGTGGCACACTCAGGAGAGTGCGGCACTGGGAGCACAGCGCCGCTACCACCGTGGGTTCGGATCCTATATAGGAATGGCCAGTGCGCTCACTGGCTGAGCACGGTGCGGGTGACACTGGCAACGGGATCACAAACCTCGGCGTCGCGCCCGCACCTCGCTCAGCCAGTGAGCGGGAACCAGTCTGTATGTGGGATCCGAACCCTCGGCGGGAGCACCACCGCACTCCGGGCCGGCCCTAAGGTAACTTTTATTTACACACAGCATGCATACAGAAAAGGCACATATCATAAGTATATAGCATGATGACTTTTCACCACACAACCAGGTAACCAGCGCACAAATCAAGAAAAAAATTACCAGCACCGTAGAATCCCTATTGTGCTTTCTTCAGGCACCNCACAAATGCTGTAAGAATCTTTGTAATAACTACATAATCAGTTATTTAGATGAAAAAGGCATAAAAGGGCTGACCCCGTGGCTCACTTGGCTGAGTGCGGTGCTGGGAGCGCCAAGGCTGCGGGTTTGGATCCTATATAGGGATGGCCAGTGCGCCACACAAATGCTGTAAGAATCTTTGTAATAACTACA